TGGCTGATGTGTAGACTGCATAGAGCCCTGGATGGTCTTCCATGTATATTCAGACGTGCCTGATGTGTAGACTGCATAGAGCCCTGGATGGTCATCCATGTATATTCAGACATGGCTGATGTGTAGACAGCATAGAGCCCTGGATGGTCTTCCATGTATATTCAGACGTGGCTGATGTGTAGACTGCATAGAGCCCTGGATGGTCTTCCATGTATATTCAGACGTGGCTGATGTGTAGACTGCATAGAGCTTAGGATGCTACTCTTTACAAAGCAAAATGTGAAATGAAAAAATTAGATGGAAATGAGATTTCAGGAATATCAATGCTCAGGGCTCACATGGGGAGTATTTATGGAGTCTATAATTTAATGTAAATATTTTATCTATTTATAAAGCAAGCCAGAAAGAAATTCAAGTTATTTTAGTGACTAGTGCAGCATCATGTTCGGAAGTTTCATAAAAATCAGCACTTAGATAGTTGGATATTAATTGGTTGGTTTCACTATTATTTGTAACTAAGATATATGCTAAGAAAAAAATAAAATATGTAATGTTTATTGAGTATTCTAAAAAGTAACCTAGATTTAAAATCATGTATACAGTTCTAAATTCTCCAAATTAGGGAAGTTATATTCAACTCAAATGCAGCATGAAATGAGTATTTATCCCTTTACTAAATATATTAAGTTGGTCATGCATGAACATTAACTAGAAATCTATCCTACATCACAAAAATAACTGATTTGGGTGTAGAATATCCAAATCCAGTTCATGTACACTATCTCATTTGACTTTCACAATTATGTTTTTTCTTTTTTCTTTTTTTTTTGTTTGGGATTCACCTAGGGTTCAAAGAATTAGGTTACACTGGTTGCATTGGTTAGGTAAAGTCCCTTATACTTATGTCCCACCCCCAAGAGGTGTGCCCTACACCCTCATCCCCCATCACCCTCTCTCTTCCCCTCTCCCTGCTCCCTCATTCTCCTACCCCACCCCACCTGGGTCATCTACTGCCTTCATCTTAGAATTGAGTACATTGGATTCCTGCTTCTCCATTCTTGTGATGCTTTCCTAAGAAGAATGTGTTCCACCTCCATCCAGGTTAATACAAAAGATGTAAAGTCTCCACTTTTTTACTGGCCGAATAGTATTCCATGGTGTACATACATATACCACAGCTTGTTAATCCATTTCTGGGTTGGTGGGCATTTAGGTTGTTTCCACATTTTGGCAATTGGAAATTGAGCTGCAATAAACAGTCTAATGCAAATATCCTTATGATAAATGACTTTTTTTCTTCTGGGTAGATGCCTAGTAATGGGATGGCATGGCAGCCATTACTACACATCAGCCATGTCTGAATATACATGGAAGACCATCCAGGGCTCTATGCAGTCTACACATCAGCCATGTCTGAATATACATGGAAGACATGAAAATGGGAGGTCTAATTTTAGTTCTTTGAGGAGTCTTCATACTTCCTTCCAAAAAGGTTGTATTAATTTGCAGTCCCACAAGCAATGTAAAAGTGTTCCCTTCTCTCCATATCCACAACAGCATCTGCAGCTTTGAGACTTTGTAATGTGGGCCATTCTCACTGGGGTTAGGTGATATCTCAGGGTAGTTTGATTGGCATTTCTCTGATCATTAGGGACAATGAGCATTTTTCATATGTTTGTTAGCCATTCATCTGTCTTCATTAGAGACGGTTCTGTTCATGTCTGTTGCCCAATGATATATGAGATTGTTGGCTTTTTTTGTTGTTAATTAATTTGAGTTCTGTGTAGATCCTAGTTATCAAGCTTTTGTCCAATCCATAATATGCGAATATTTTTCCTATTCTGAAGGTTGTCTGTTTGCTTTGGTTGTTTCCTTAGCTGTACAGAAGCTTTTCAGTTTAATTAAGTCCCATTTGTTTATTTTTGTTGTTGCAATTGCCACAGAAGTGTTCTTCATAAAATCTTTGCCCAGGCCCAAGTGTTTCCCCCACACTTTCTTCAAGAATTTTTATTATTTCATGCCTTGGATTTAAATTTTTTATCCATCTTGAATCAATTTTTTTAAGTGGTGAGAGGTGTGGGCCCAATTTCAGTCTTTTACATGTGGTTATGTAGTTCTCCCAGCACCATTTATTGAATAGGGATTCTTTTCCCCAGTGTATGTTCTTGTTTGGTTTATCAAAGATCAGGTGGCCATAAGAGGTTAGTTTCATCTCATGATTTTACACTTGGTTCCAGATGTCAATCTTTGTGCCAATACCATGCTGTTTTGATCACTATGGTCTTGTAGTATAGCCTAAAGTCTGGTAGGGAGATACCCTGGTTTTGTTTTTATTACTAAGAATTACCTTGGTTATATGGGGTTTTTTCTGGTTCCATACAAACAAATTATTTTTTTCCAAATCTTGGAAGTACAATGATGGTATTTTAATGGGGATTGCATTGAATCTGTAGATTGCTTTGAGAATTATAGACATTTTAACAATGTTGATTCTCCCCAGCAATGAGAATGGTATGTTCTTCAAATTTCACAATTTTTTTTTTTTTTGAGACAGAGCTACAAGCTATTCCCCTGGGTAGAGTGCTATGGCATCACAGCTCACAGCAACCTCCAACTCCTGGGCTCAAGTGAGTCTCCTGCCTCTGCCTCTCAAGTAGCTGGGACCACAGGCACCCACCACAACACCCAGCTATTTTTTGGTTGCAGCCATCATTGTTGTTTGGTGGCCCGGGCTGGATTTGAACCCGCCACCTTAGGTATATATGGCTGGCGCCTTAGCCGCTTGAGCCACAGGCATCGAGCCAAATTTCACAATTATTATGTCACTCACTCCATTTTCTCTAAATTTGTCAGATGCCTCAGAACTATGACTGCCTTAATTATAGGTAGGTTTTAAGGGTCACTGATTAAGGGCACTTTTAGCCCTGAAATATTTTTGCAACCTGTTCACCAATGTTTGACATCTTTTC